TGTACAGATCACAAATTTACGGCCATACAGATATTTATGGAATTTCTATACCCCGAACACTCCAGCTAAACCCTCCTTCTCCAGCTGTGAGTAGTTTTTTTCTGCTACTGTAAGTGTTCGTGATACAAACCCAATGGGTCTCTCCGTTCCATCTGCCATACGATGTGCCAACACGGCTCCCACACCGTACGCTGAGGCATCACAAGAAAGCACTAATTGTTTTTTCTCATCATAGTGGATTAACACACGGTTAGACTGCAGTAACTCTTTGGATTTTTTAAAAACTTCCTCTTCTTCCTCTTTCCAACACCAGGGGACATCCTTCTTTAAAAGCCTGTGCAATGGAGCAAGCAGTGTTGAGAGGTTTGGCAGAAACCTGTTATAGAAATTCAACAATCCCAAATATGCTTTCAGCTCTGTTACTGACGTCGGTCTTGGTGCATCTTGAACTGCTTGGACTTTTTCAGGAACTGGATGAATACCAGTGGCATCCACTTTGTGTCCCAGGAAAATGACTTCCTTTTCCAAGAATTTACACTTTCCCCTTTTCAACCTCAAACCATACTCCTCCAAACGCTGCAACACTTGATCTAGTGTCCTCAAATGCTCCTGATCATCTCGTCCTGTCAGCAAGATGTCGTCCAGATATACAGTGACCTTTGGAATATCCTTCAGGACCCCTTCCATGGTCCTCTGGAAGATTACTGGACTGGAACTAACGCCAAAAGGTAATCTGGTGTACGTGAACAATCCTTTGTGGGTATTCACAGTCACATACGGCCTGGACGTCTCATCTAACACAATCTGTTGATATGCATGACTCATATCTAACTTGCTGTACTTTTTACCTCCAGCTAAAACTGCAAACATGTCCTCCATTCGAGGAATAGGATACTGCTCCAGTGATGACTCTCTGTTAATGGTTACTCTGTAGTCTCCACAAAGCCTTACTGACCCATCTGGTTTTAAAACAGGCACAACAGGTGCTGCCCACTCTGAGAATTTCACAGGCTCTATAACATGGTCTTTAATCAGGCGATCAAGTTCGGCTTCAACTTTCTCTCTCATAGCAAAAGGCAGTGACCTTGATTTAAAAAAATGAGGCTTTGAATCCCTTGGTACATGAATCTTAGCAGTGGCTCCTTTTAATGTTCCAAGTTCGTCTTTGAAAACGGTTTCATGTTTCCTTAAGATGTCTTGCAACAACTCTGAGGTGTCTGTAATTTTACTCACTCTTTCCCAGCTGAGTTCCAGGTCTATAAGCCATGATCGTCCTAATAAATTAGGCCCAGCTCCTGCCACCACTACTGCTGTGAGTTCTTTGATAAGCCCTTTGTGGTTGACTTTAACCTTGGTGGTACCTAGAACGTGCACTGGCTGTCCTGTGTATGTTTTTAGACTGAGAGAGCTTGTTTTGAGTTCAGCCCAGTTCTTTTTAGCTTCCATTTTTCCATACTCCATCTGTGATAAGACAGTCACACTTAGGGATGGGACGATTACCGGTTTCACGATAAACCACGATAAAATGTCCTGGCGGTTAGTATTATCGTTTAAAATTTAATTATCATAAAAACCGTGTTTGATTATCGTGATTTTGAAAACTCGCGGTAAATCCTGTCCAGCCAGAATCAGTCTGACGCAGGCGCGAGCACTCAGCAGGCGCGCAGATGCAATGTTGTTTTTTTGCGCGAGAAGACATGGCGGAAGTCAGTGACAGCGCACGGGAGATTTTTCAGCCATCCAAGAGGACAAAATCGGAGGTATGGTCGTATTTTGGCTATTACAAGAGTCCCGAGGGCAATTTAATCGAGGATGGGCATCCTGTCTGCAAATCTTGCAAGAGGAAAGTCGCTGCAAAAGGGGGAAACACGTCAAATCTGCTAAGTCATCTAACGTTACGTGACAACCACCCACTGAGTTAATTTTTACCTTAATACCACAACTAACTTGGGCAAATAATTAGACAAATTTATTGGAGATGAATTATTTCATTATCTCACTTGTAATTATTGCAAAGCTTCCGCGAAGAGAAAAGTTTTACAGCAAGTGGATTTGAGCCAAGACGAACGAACATATTCAAACTATTAAGGGTGACATTTAAGGGATAATGTATTGTATTCATTCATAGTAAACTTATTACAGTTTTATTTTTTTTATTTTTTACCACAGAAATAATTTAAGGGACATGAAATATTGAACTGTGATTAACTTAATGTTTTTAAATCTTGCCGGTTTATAAATCCATTATACAAGTTACAGTGTCCAAATCAATCGTAAAGTAAATGTGATCACTACAACAATATTGTAGTAGTATTAATACTAAATTACTCTGATTTAATTTTCAAAACAGTCAAAACTGAGACGCAAGACATACACATTTGAATGAAACCAGAGATCGCGTCCACGGTGATCCGAGACATGGATGTGCGCTGTGTAGTGCGTTGCTATTTACAACAGTCATTATAAGTATTCCAGTAGTTTAGTCACCCTGACCCAACCAACATATGTTGTTCATTTAAAGTGTGTGTGCGTGCGTGCGCGTGTGTGTGAGTGAGAGAGAGAGAGAGAGAGAGAGAGAGAGAGAGAGAGAGAGAGAGAGAGAGAGAGAGAGAGAGAGAGAGAGAGAGAGAGAGAGAGTTTATTATTTATTAATAATAATAATATTCAGTCATAATAACTTACACACATCCATAAGTGTTATTATCATTATTAATGATAGGGTTTAATGACGGGTTCATTAAAATCTGCACTAGGAAAACTTATACCTCACTCTCAGGGCTCCATGTTAATGTTAATATAATGTTTATGCTTAAAAAAGTGCATAGCTGCTAGCATGCTAATTGTATTTTTTTTGTTTGTTGATTTTCAAATGTTTTCAGGGTGAGCATCAGTTCTTTTTGAACATTTCCATCTCATTTTAACAAAACCGTGATAATATTGATAATCGTGATAACTTTGGTCACTATAATCGTGATATGAAATTTTCATACCGTCCCATCCCTAGTCACACTACATCCAGTGTCAATCTCAAACTTCACAGGGCATTCATTTACAATCAGTGTCTGTGTAATAGGGGGTACATGGGGCTGTGGGGTGTCTAAACTATACATGGTGAACACTTCTTCAGATGGATCTTCCTCCTCTTCTTGAAGATAATTTGCCCTCTTTGATTGATTTCCTCTCCCCCATTTCCAAAATTTCCTGTCTTTATTAACACCAGTTTCTTGTGGTTTCATTCTACATACTCTTTTCACATGTCCAATTTTACCACAATTATAACACTTTTCGTTGGCAAATCTACAGTCTTTTGGTCCATGGTTACTTCCACCACATCGATAACACATTCCTGTAACACTCGCTCTACTTTTTTCTCCTGTGTCCATTTTGAAAACAGTGGTACCCATTCGATTTCCTGTATCTTTATGCAAATCAGCCATATCCTTATAAGCAGCTTCAATAGCCTGAGCTTTCCTTAGAGCAGTCTCAAACGTCAGTCCATCCTCAGCCAGTAATCTCCGTTGTATGCTGTCATCATTAACACCACACACTAATCTGTCTCTCAGCATAACTGTAAGCGTGTCTCCAAAATTACAATCTTGTGCCAGCTTCCTCAATTCGGCCACATATTCTACTATGCTTTCGTCAAATCGTCTGTTACGTGAATTAAACTTCCACCTTTGAACTATTTCACTAGGCTTCGGATTAAAGTGATTTTTCAGCAAACTCACCAGATCCTCATAACTTTTTGATCCCGGTCTCTCAGGACTCAGTAAATTCCTCATTAGTGTGTACGTCTGAGCTCCCACACAGCTCAACAATATGGCTCGTTTTTTCTCTGGTTCTTCAACATCATTTGCCACGAAAAAATGATTCAATATTTCACAATACTCCTCCCATGATTGTGACTTATTATCAAATGGTGTCACGGATCCCAACATGCCAGCCATAGTTCAATTCAGTTCAGTCAGTACTTTAGGTGATAGCTATCAACTTTCATCAGCTCACCCCGTTGGCGTCCTGCTTTTTTTTATATTCCCTCAGGAAACAGCTGCTCCAAAGTTCTGACTTTCATCCTCGTCGCCATATGTTGTATCGTAGATACCGAGGAAAAACTCAGAGACAACGGTAACTTCAGGATGGTCTCGTTTTATTAGGACTCATCTCTGTAGCTAGCAATACACACACAAGTTCCCCACACTGCGCGTTCTTCTCTGCTTTTAACAGTGCAACAGCCCACAAACACAATGCGCCATCGCCCCCTACTGGACAAACCCAATACCACCCTTAACATACAACAACGTATGTGGCCGATAAATGTGACGTCAAGAGGATGAAGCTTCGAAATGAGACGCAGATCCATGAAAACACACACTAAGAAGCAACGTCGCCTACTGGCCGGTTGTGCAATCATTATTATTTAAATAATTGTTCAACTTTAATCCGTTTTTTTTTGTGTGTTTTTTTACAAATTAAACTATTGAGAAGAATATTACTGTGAACAAGAATTATATTGTTTTTGATGTTTCCAAATAAAATAAAAATATTGATTGAACTAAAAACAGTATGTGCTTGCAAACATAATATGGCTGAATAAGTTTATTATTTTATATTTAGCCTTTTTGCTTCAGCATTTGTTGTAGGATGATATTTATCATATTTTATTTTTAATTTTAAAAAGTTGAGGTTATCCGCTTAACCGTAAACTTACCCGTGTCTGTCACATAACCTGTATAACTATAAACTATAACTAATATTCCCTGAACTTACCAGAGACTTTAACATTATTCTTTGAAAGCTCTGGAATTTTCTTCCAAAAAACTATAATTTTGTAATTATGTTTGGTGTCACTAGTGGGAGCAGAAAAGACAAACACTATTTTAAATCAAAACAAATGACATTTACTGTATACAAAAAAATATGATAAAAACAGAAGACTATTGAAAAAATATGAGCAATAACTCTATAAATGAGCTCAACACTGCATCACTGTTCACTTACAGATAAACCGACTCTGACTGTAAAGCCCCAGAGTTCAGTGTTCACTGGAGACACAGTTACTCTCAGCTGTGACGTGGGAAGATCAACTGGATGGACGTTTCTCTGGAGGAAAGACTCAAACCGTGAATCCAGTAATTATGCAGGAACTAAAACTATCAGTTCTGTGACAGTCTCTGATGGAGGAAGATACTGGTGTAGAGCACAGCGAGGAAACTACTACTACACACATACACAATACTATACAGACTACAGTAATGTTGAGATAACAGTGAGAGGTAAGTGCTATTTTACTTTGTAGTTTGTTTGTTTTTCAGTGAAAGAAACATGAAGTGTGTGTTTGCTCATTTCACAGAGAGACCCAAACCTGTAGTGGAGGTGAAGCCTGATGTCCGTGTGTTCAGAGGAGAGAGAGTCACTCTCACATGTGTCATACAGGAGACAGGAGACTGGAGGTACAGCTGGTATAAAGATCAAGATTACAGCAGAAGAACAGACCAGATCTATTACAGCGCAGGACAAGACCAGATCTATATAATCACATCTGTGGATCCGTCTCATGCTGGTCTGTACAGATGTAGAGGAACTCAGACTGAAACCCCACAGAACTCAGAGATCAGTGATGGAGTTGCACTGACAGTATCAGGTGAGTGTGTTCATCATTTCATCACATCACTTCACATCACAACCTGAAGACATTGATTTGAAAACCAGGTAAATTTGAGTTTAGTTTGTCTCACACTTAGTCAGATTATGTTAGTTTAGAGTTTGTAAACATCTCTATATACAGTGACAGGCTGATGAACTCTTTTCAGAGTTCATTATCTTTATTGTCCAGACATGTTAAGTTCATCCATGAGCTTCTGCTCTTCAGATTATCTGAGATGAATGAAACCGTCAGTGTAGCAAACAAGCCTTGAGACTTGATCATTTGTGCTCAGTTAGACTGTTTGAGTCTCTTAGTTTGTGTTTCTGTCTTTCTTCTCAGGTTTACCCACATCTACAGTGACTGTGACACCAGACAATCCTGTATTCACTGGAGAAACAGTCGTACTGAAGTGTGTGATAAACTCTGATCACAGTGACTGGAGATATGAGTGGTATAAAGACAGTGTAAAGTTACAGACGTCGGGTTATCGTTACACTGTAAACAGAGGCACTGTCACTATCAGAGGAGCTACTGAGTCTGATCAGGGTCAGTACTGGTGTAAAGGACAGAGAGATGGAAGACCAAACTCATCAACATCAAGCTCTACTGTTTCTCTCTCTGTGAAGGGTGAGTTCAACATAAATTTCCTCCTAAAAAGACCGATCAAATTATTATTCAACAAGAAGCAATTCCCTTGATCACATGACCTCATCACATTAAAATTTTATTCAGATTTTTTTTTTACTTTTAAATTATAGCCTAATGCATAATCCACATTTGTGTGAAATGTGAATACAAAATAACTTTTGTCACACTTACGTTCTGTTTCACTGTCTTGTTTAATTTTTAGTCTAGTTTTCTTTGTCATTGTATTTGCCTTAGTTCGAGTCAGAGTAGTTGTCATGGTTTATCATTAGTTATCACCTGTTCCCTGTTCTGCTGATTACGCTCCTCTGTGTATTTAAGCCTTCTGTTTTCTTAGTTCATGGTCTTGAAAAGATTACTGCAACACTCTACACCAGGGGTCGGCAACCTTTTTGATATGAAGTGCCCTTTTCAAAAAATTGTGTTTATTAGTGTGCCATGTCAACATTATGTTTAATTATGACATCACATCAAAATGTAATATCCAGGGAATCTGTCCTTTTATTCCATAGCAACATAACATGTATTTCTCATAATCAGGACATTGTAATTATCTGGAGTATGATGCAAAGCTGCCATCTTTATGAAAACATCCACATCTGAGTTGAAATCATTAACCTTACCAACATTACACCAAACTTGTTCATCATCTTAAACTTCACTCAGTTATAATGGCAGTAAAGGTCAAAACAGGAGAATTAAGAGTAACAAACAGAAATATGAGAACTATAAAATAATGTTGCCATGCTTATGAAACATCAAAATCTGAGTTGAAATCATTAATCTTGTTAGCTATACACTTAATACTTGTATTTTTTTTACAGATGTATATATATGCACAGTTCCCATTTAACATACTGCTTGCAATGATATTCCCTCATTTAAAAAAAAGGTTGCAATGGTAGCACAAAGGGAGAATTAAGTGTAACAAACTCTATGCTGTAATGAAAACATCCACGTCTGAGAGGAAAAAAGAGACGGGTACAGAAGCCTTGTATGCAAAGTCATATGTGCTACATTAAACAAATGCCTACCAGTCAATGTGATCCCTGGCCCTGTTTTTCTTTGCTGAGCTCCATAATCTGGGGTCGTACTTCGTCACTTTAAGTTGCACACAAGCTTCGGAGTGGTCAGTTGTCAAACGACTGCGGGAGGGGCTGAGCACGCTCTTCAGAATATCTGCTCACAGAGATATGTTGGTCCGAAGACTGTCAGCAAAGCCAATGCAATGTTCCTGAGACAGCAAAACTTCTCTGGTACAGATATCCAGCAGGTGAAGATGCAAGTCCCGTGATCATGCCTTGCGACGGTTTCCAGCTGTTTCTGTAGCTCTGCAAACTTTGTCACCCACAGTGTTGAACTCTTCAGCTCAATCAGCTGCATTTCCACGTCTTGTATATCCAGCCAGTCCATCAGAGATAAATCCAGTTTATTTCCATCAAAGCTATCGGGTTTAATCAAGAATGAGAACATGGGTCCATACTTCTGAAATTCCCGAAATCGTGCTGTAAACTCGGACTCAAGCCCGCTGATGTATTTGCATATTTCAGCGGTGTTGATGCTGTGCTCCCTTAAGTGTCTGAAGTAGCGGAAAGTGGAGGTGGCAATGTCGCTTGAAAAAGTTGTCAGCTTTCCAACAAAAGCAGCCCATGTTTCGTACATGTCCAAAACTGTTTACCTTGCAAGTGGAGATTAAGTCGTTGAGGTGTCCCGTAATGTCCGTGAGATACATAAGTTTCACAACCCACTCCTCGCCCTGCAGTTCGGGATAGTCTTGGCCTTTTTCAGCCAGGAAGGCCTTTATAGCATCAAAGCAGCCGACAAACCTCTCCAAAACTTCCCGCAGCTTAGCCACCTGACTCCTGTGTGGAGAGGGATATCTTTGTATGCGCCGTTCATTTCCTCGAGCAGAGACATGAACTGTCTGTGTTAGAGAATTTGACATTTTGGGAAAAAGATTTTCTTGGTGTATTATGCAGTGAAGTTTCATGATGGGGTGAACAACTTGTTCCTCGATTAATGTGACTGTTCCCGCTGTTTCCCGACCATGGCGAGGGCACCATCTGTTGTCACTGCAAAAATCTTGCTTGTGTCAATCTCTCGCTCCTTGAAATGCTCCAGAAAAACTCTGGCTATGTCCTCACCTTTTGTTGTTTCAGGCATTGGCTTTAAGCAACAGAGTTCCTCTTGTAGAGTCACATCACCGTATCTTGCCATGACTGCCAAACGTGGAATGTCATTTACATCCACACTCTCATCAAGTGCAACGCTGAATACCCCATGGCTTCTTTCAAACCATCTGTCTGCTGCGCTCTTACGTTTTCTGCCATTTCTGCAATGCGTCGTTCAACACTTCTAATTTAAAATTAAAGTGCGCCAAATTTTGAATTTTGTTATAAAATAGACAGAATTTGAAAGCTAAGACTTTCAGGTAAATAACAGTTTTGATTCATTCATGAAATTCATTAAATGAAACATTCATGAAACCTAACAAGTGACGTGCGGTCTCTGTTCAACTTTATCTTCATACATAAATAAATGCATAAGCTAGCCTATATGCTTGTCCTGTACGTTCAGAAATAACAATGAAAATGTGAACAAAAACAGAGCCTATTAAATGGCTTATTATCGTTAAAATGTGAAAATTACAATGACAGGTAATAATAGACTGATGAAATTTGTATAACCCTATCCATCTAAATGATGGACAATGCGGAAGTCTAACGCAACGTCTGCGTTCTAGTGGGAATCGCTTTATGGTTCCTGCTGTTAATTTAATGTTATTTCATCATCTTTCTGTTTCCCATCCATATTTCAGCACTTATTCTCTTCGGTATGAACTGTTGCAGACAAATACTCAATGATTTGTGTAACACAAGTGAAGTGTGGAACACCTTCTGACTCTCGAGGTCGAATCTGTTGTTGTTCTCCTGCAGATCTACAGTCGAAGCCTGAACTCACATCAGATCCTGCAGGAGCTGCACTGACTGGAAACACAGTGACTTTGACCTGTCGCATGGATCCGTCCACTGGAGACTGGGACTCTTACTGGTACAAACACACACTGAACCATGAGACAGAGAAGAAGAAAACACACTCCTACAGCCTGAAGATTGATTCAGTGTCTGATGGAGGCCAGTACTGGTGTAGAGCTGGAAGAGGGAAACCAGTCTATCACACACAATACAGTGATGCACTGTGGGTAAATGTTACAGGTGAGAGAGACTGTAGTGTGTGATGCAACAAATACAGATCAGAGACAATATCTACACAACTTCTGAAACTATAAATCCAATAATCTGTGTTTGTACAGAGAGTCCTAAAGCTGTGGTGACGGTACGACCTGATGAACGAGTGTTTAGAGGAGAAACAGTCACTCTCAGATGTGATATAAAGTGGGCAGGAGACACTGAGTGGACATACAGATGGGAAATAGAGGGAACCAACAACCAATATAAAAACACTGTCAGCCGAACCTCAACACAAGAGTTGAACATCAGCAGTGTTGATCTCTTTCACAGCGGTAAATACACCTGTACAGGACAGATACACACTCACAGCTCTCAGCGCAGTGATGCTGTTACACTGACTGTATCAGGTGAGTTTGTGTGTGTTGTGATCAGCTTCTCCATCAGTTTCTCTACGGCTCTGTAACTCATGATGTTTTGTTCAGCTGAAGCTCAGGCATCACTGCGAGTGTCTCCACAGCCGTGGCTGACTGAAGGAGAATCAGTGACTCTGATCTGTGAGGTTTCAGGCTCCTCTACAGGCTGGACGTTCAGCTGGTTCAGAGATCATGATCATCTGTCAGACAGCAGCAGAGGAGCTGGAGGATCTTACACTCTCAGTCCTGCTGCTCTACAGCACACAGGAGTTTATACGTGCAGAGCAGAGAGAGGACGACCAGCCTATTACACACACAACAGCAGCTCACACACACTGTGGATCACTGGTGAGGGTTTATGCTTGTGCTCATCCGCATCTGTGTTTCACTGCAGTCTCTGTGCTGTCAGTTCTGATGGAGATTTTCCTCTTTTCAGGAGTTTCTGCTTCAGTGTCTCTGGTCATCAATCCCAGCAGAAGTCAACACTTCTCCTCTGACTCTCTCTCTCTGAGCTGTGAGGATCAGAGTAACTCTGCTGGATGGACAGTGAGAAGATACACAGACAAACACACACAAACTTGTGCAAAACAAACAGGATCTCGATGTGTAATCGACTCTCTCAGCACATCTGACACTGGAGTGTACTGGTGTGAGTCTGAATCTGGAGAGAAACGCCGTCCTCGAAACATCACTGTACATGGTGAGTCCAATCACTCTTACAACATAATAATGTTTATAATCAATATATGTTTTCTTATGAGATCAGGTAAGACTACACAGGACTATTATTCTAACTACATTATTTACAGTATTAAACACACATATCTTGTGTTTGTAGCCGGTGAGGTGATTCTGGAGAGTTCTGTTGATCCTGTGATTGAGGGAGAGACTCTGACTCTACACTGTTTACATCGATCTACAAACTCCCCGATCCTCAGCGCTGATTTCTATAAAGACGGATCACTGATCCAGAATCAGACGACAGGAGAGATGAGCATCACTACTGTCTCAAAGTCACATGAGGGTTTCTACTCCTGTAAAACAGAGAGAGGACAGTCTCTCCACAGCTGGATCTCACTCACGGGAGTCTATAATTGTGAGATTATTTTATTTTATTCATGAGCATCTGATGAGATACGCCACACTATTAATATATATGAGTCTCTGTCTCTTATTTCTGCTGGAGGACAATCAGTTATTGTCAAATACAAAGTTCTGTCATGAAACTCTAGATGGCGCTGGTGGAGAGGTCTTTAACTCAAGTATTCTGCAATCACATCATTCTCTATAGGGCAGAGCTGATTGGTTCCTGCTGTATCAGTAGCCAATGAGCTCGTGCACTTTCAGAAACCCTCCACCTTCCCCAGCTCCACCTGTATAGATCTGCTACGGGTAATTCATATATTTTGTACAGCAGCGTAGAAGATCTATTCCTTCAAGACCAAACATATCAACACTGTTATATCCATTACCATGCCAAACACTCAGAGAGTTCATGACAGAACTGTTTATTGTTTCACATAACTCACATGAACAAAAGTAGAACTATACAATCACATGCAAAATATGCTGAAATATAGTGAAATCAACACCTTATAAACAACATCCCACAATTCAATGAAATCAAGAGTGTTTTAGCTACAGCATTATAATCAAATCAGATTAATAGAGATCAAAGTCTGACTTTTTATAAATTAATAATTAGTTTTTCATTTGAAAGCAGTAAGGAAAGATTCTTATTTTCATATGCGTTCAGTGTCAAACATACAGTTTTGGTCTGAAGAGGGGAAAAAACAAATGAATAACTTATATACTATTATGTTATCATTTACTCACCCTCATATCAGTCAATACATGTATGATCTTTCTTTCTTTCTTCAGTGGAACATAAATGAAAGTATTTGGATGTTGTTGTTGTTGTTTTTTCATTCAATGAAAGTAAATGTTCCTTCAAAATATATTTTATCCACACAATAAAGAAATTTAAACAGTTCTGAAAAACATGAAAGTCAGTAAATTTGGCAGAATATATATTTATTTCAACAAACTATTCCTTTAATACAGAGCTAGGGAAATTGTGGAATAATGAGACAGAGGAAAATATTTCAAAGCTTTCATATTCAATATTCTGAAAGTCCATCATAGATCTTTAATGTTGCTCAATAATGTTCTTGTGTTTCTGTTTTTCAGTGTCACGTTCAGGTCAGATTTCTGTCTTCAAAATCCTCAGTTTTCTTCTGGCAGCTTCTCCGTATCTGCTTGCGACAGTCGTGCTGCTTTTCAAATGTTACAGAGCGAGAGGTAAAGCTTCTGTCTGATATCTCTCTCTCTCTCTCTCTCTCTCTCTCTCTCTCTCTCTCTCTCTCTCTCTCTCTCTCGTGCTGGTCATATAATTAGAATATTATCAAAAAGTTGATTTATTTCAGTAATTCCATTCAAAAAGTGAAACTTGGATAATATATTCATTCATTACACACAGAATGATACATTTCAAATGTTTATTTAATTTAAAGGGGACCTATTATGCAAAATTCACTTTTGTATGGTGTTTGGACATAAATGTGTGTTGGCAGTGTGTGTACACAACCACCCTACAGTGATAAAAATCCACTCACTCCTTTTTTTTAAATCCCCATAAATCGTAAGCAGTGTCTCCCAACGACCTGTTTTCAGAATACGGCTTTAGTGACGTCACTAAAGCCACAGGCCCCGCCCACGAGTGTTGACAGACATTGCCGTTTTAACTTAGACCCGCCCTGATCGAGTTCACAGCAAGTTGTACACATCCGCCATTGCTGCACTAATGAGAATGTCTCTCAAGCGTTGAAGGTGTTGTGGCTGGATGCATTCATAGGGATCAGGGGATCCGACTCCTCCCCGTGGATTTCATGTACTGCAAGGAGAACCATCTCCCAAATAGTGATGATTTAAACATGCTGTAAATTATCTGTGGGGTATTTTGAGCTAAAACTTCACATACACACTCTGGGGACATCAGAGACTTATTTTACATCTTTTGAAAAGGGGCATAATAAGTCCCCTTTAAATGTGATGATTAAAACTGACAACTAATAAAAATCCCAAATTCAGTATCTCCGGAAATTAGAATATTACTTAAGACCAATACAAAAAAAGGATTTTTAGAAATGTTGGCCAACTGAAAAGTATGAACATGAAAAGTATAACCATGTACAGCACTCAATACTTAGTTGGGGCTCATTTTGCCTGAATTACTGCAGCAATGCGGCGTGGCATGGAGTCGATCAGTCTGTGGCACTGCACAGGTGTTATGAGAGCCCAGGTTGCTCTGGTAGTGGCCTTCAGCTCTTCTGCATTGTTGGGTTTGGCGTATGACATCTTCCTCTTCACAATACCCCATAGATTTTCTACAGGGTTTAGGTCAGGCGAGTTTGCTGGCCAATTAAGAACAGGGATCTCTTGGTAGTCCATCGATATCGATGATGACGATCCTTTACACAACTTTATTTGTGGGCTCGTATGTGGCTATAGAGTCCAATCCTTGAACGGCACAGCCGTTCACAGTAGGGACATGGGAACTGTCCTAGTTCAGTACTTGCAGATTCAACCAACTTCCTCCTATCTCGGGCCTCAGTGATGTGCACGCGGCGTCTCACCTCGAATGCGCCTTGTGCCTGCCTTGAGAGAGTACACCAGCCAGACCTGTCTTGTGCACGGAGCTCTAGATCTTTTGGGGCGATTCCAGCAAGATTCAAATAGGACTTCACACAGTCTTTGAACCTTTTACGTGGTCTGCCACGCTTTTGTTTGCCTGAGGAGAGCTCACCATATAGAAGCTGTTTTGGCAATCTACTGTCGGCCATACGAATGACGTGCCCTGTCCATCGAAGCTGAGATTTTAAGATCATGCCTTCGATGCTGGTTGTATTGGCTCTGTCCAGGACCTCAAGGTTCATTTTGCGGTCATGCCAGCTAATGCAGAGAAGTGACCTCGTATGTGGAATTGTTCCAGCTGTTTCAAATGTCTTCTGTACAAGGTCCATGTTTCACATCCATACAAAAGGCCAGTAAGAACAATAGCCTTGTACAGTTTTACTTTTGTGGTTAGTCTGATGTTATGCTGGTTCAGTACCCGGTTTTTCAAGCGGCCAAGAGCTTGACTTGCTTTGCATATGGTCCTTAAACCAGGTACTGGTAGCTTTGGCACTGTGTGCAGGTGGAAAATGAAATCTGCATCTCCATAAAGTTGGTCAGCAGCAGGAAGCATGAAGTGCTCTAAAATTCCCTGGTAGACGGCTGCGTTCAGTTGACCTTGGACCGCAGATGACATGGCACCCCAAACCATCACTGACTGTGGAAATCAGAGTCTGGAGGAAGAGAGCAGAGGCACAGAATCCACGTTGCTTGAATGTCAGTGTAAAGTTTCCAAATGAAATGCAAAATTTACTTTCATCAGAGAACTCAGCAGCAGTCCAGTGCTTTTGGTCTTTAGCCCAGACGAGACGCTTCTGACGCGGTGTCTTGTTCAGGAGTGGCTTGACACCAGGAATGCGACAGCTGAAACCCATGTCTTGCATACGTCTGTGCGTGGCGGTTCTTGAAGCACTGACTCCAGCTGCAGTCCACTCTTTGTGAATCTCCCCCACATTTTGGATTGGGTTTTATTAGTGATGTGACGTTCGGCACCGAGGCTTCGAAGCTTGTATCAAAAAAACGAAACATCTCACATGAACCAATGTACCGGAGCTTGATTCGTTTTGCCATAACCATGTGATCAGTGACGTCCGAAGCTTCGTTTCGACACACAACCACGTGACTGCTTCATATTCTGATTCAAAAATAGTGCAAACCCCTTGCGCAGGTTTCGAGTGTCATGCGCTTCGGTTGTGAAAAGAGGCCGTTCAGAAGTCTGGCAGCATTTTCATGTCGTATCAAGTCCCATGTGAGAGAATATTCTCAAAGGCAGGGGAAGTAGTAAATAAAAAAAGAAATAGACTTAGCCCTCACACTGTTGAACAAGTCCTGTTCCTTAGTAAAAAATCTTTAATTTCTTCAATTACACAACTCCCCAGTTCACAAGCACTACCCAGCCTTTCACCATTCCACAATAGCTTTCTTTTATTTTGATTATATACAGTATGCCTAAATGAGCCTTGCCTATGAACTCATATGTTTAGGACTACGGCTAAAGTTTTAAGGCTACATATTTTCAACAAAGCAGAGTTAATTTGTCCCATGTATTAATTCTTTCATAAATTAATTCATAGACTCATTTGTAAACACCAACACTGATGATTTTTATTGCTTTGTGGTTTTCATAGCACAAAGTGATTTATAACATAAAACAATAAATAAAAAAATTGGGAAAGGTAGCTTTTCCACCTTTTGACCACAATATGTCGTTAGTGTGCACCGTGTTGAAAAGCTTCGAGTAATGAACCAATTTACGATACACTTGAGGGGAAAGCCTCAGTGCTTCACAAAGCTTCATTTCACCATCACTAGGTTTTATTTCACAATCCTCTCCAGGGTGCAGTTCTACCACATCTTCTCCTTCCCTTCGCCTCTCTATTAAAGAGCCCTCCTTGTGCAAGATGTCAATGGTCGTCTTTTGGACAGCTGTCAAGTCAGCAGTCTTCCCCATGATTGTGTAGCCTACAGAACTAGACTGAGAGACCATTTAAAGGCCTTTGCAGGTGTTTTGAGTTAATTAGCTGATTAGAGTGTGACACCAGGTGTCTTCAATATTGAACCTTTTCACAATATTCTAATTTTCTGAGATACTGATTTGGGGGTTTTCATTAGTTGTCAGTTATAATCATAAAAATTAAAGGAATAAACACGTGAAATATATCAGTCTGTGTGTATGAATGAATATAATATCCAAATTTCACTTTTTGAATGGAATTACTGAAATAAATCAACTTTTTGATGATATTCAAATGATATGACCAGCACTTGTATATATATATATATATATATATATTCCCTCAATCATTTTTGTGTATTTCAGTTTCTTCTTCTGAAGACCAAAGTCAGTACGCCGTAACAGAGGAAGATCCTTCAATCTGATATTAAAGAGTTAATTCTGTCCACATGTTTGAATGTTCTGTCAGCATTTATTTGTCCTTTAACATGGTTTGAAAATATTGTACTTTGTTCTTCTTATAAGTTTTATATTTGGCATAAGCTTGTGTTGTTAATCTGTTCTTCGATAGTGAAAGCTTGACAATGAGACTGTTGCTTGTTCTAGTTCGCTTGTTTGAGCAATTATTAATCATACATAATATAGTTTTATTCTGTATAAATGAATAACTGGTGAAATAAATGTTTATTAAAGGTGTTTTTCTTGTTTTTTTCTCATTTGTAATCCATAGTCTAGTTAAAAAACAAATGTCTTAATGTTTGTCAATTGAATAATAAATCTTTATATAGTGTCTGTAATTAAATCATTTGAAAGCATTTCATCATTCAAATTCTTTGTTGACAGTTTCCCTTTAAAGAGTTAAAAAATACAACAAAAAATGGCATCAGTTTATAACAGACTCAAATACTCAGAAAGAGTTGAAACTACAACAATTGCCTCTGATCAGACTATAATTAAATTACTTTGTTAAATTTAATAATTTTAATATTTAATGATATATTTTTTTTAATAAGCTTGACTAAGAGACTAAAAGAGAATCATTGAATAAAACTATAGTAAATATAATGATTTACAAATTACATTTGCTGCAGATCAAAGCCAATAATATAACAGGTTTTTAATAATCAGAACGGATAAAACTTTTGCTTTTGTATGACAAGACAGTTTACGATAGCTCTAATCACGGATAATATGTGTGGCTCTTAAAAGAGCCTTTGTGTTGTGTTGAGCGGACTCGCTCTACTTTGAGCTGGTGTATTTGGTCACAGCCTTTGTGCCCTCAGACACGGCGTGTTTGGCCAGCTCTCCGGGCAGCAGCAGACGCACGGCGGTCTGGATCTCTCTCGATGTGATGGTGGAGCGCTTGTTGTAGTGAGCGAGACGAGACGCTTCACCGGCGATGCGCTCGAAGATGTCGTTGACGAAAGAGTTCATGATCCCCATCGCCTTGGAGGAGATCCCGGTGTCGGGATGAACCTGCTTCAGGACTTTGTACACGTAGATCGCGTAGCTCTCCTTCCTGGACTTTCTGCGCTTCTTTCCGCCCTTGCCGGTGGTTTTAGTGACGGCCTTCTTCGAGCCCTTCTTGGGTGCAGACTTCGCTGGTTCAGGCATGATTTCGTTCAGAGAAACTCAAAGAACAACTTCGCTGAATCACTGCGGGCGGGTTTTATTCACTGCTCTATGCTAATTTCAAAAGGGAAGAAAAGGCTCTGTGATTGGTAGGCTTCCTGGACCAAACCATAGAACGATTTCATTGGTCACATAAAACATTCTTTGAATTGTAGGCGATCCAATCAGAAGCTTTGAAATGTTAATCACGCCCATCGACAACTGCCATCCCCCACATCCAGCTCCATTTCTTTGTTTAATTTTCCCGCATTTTTCCGGAATTAAGTGGATAATTGTAAATAATGTTCATAGTTCTTTCATATGCAGAGGATTCTATATAATTTTAACTTTTATTTAAAGCAGAAATAGCACATTGTATTATGAATATACGGTTATTACATTTTTACAGTTAAAACTTTTATTTGTATCTTTAATTTTTATTTGCTTTAGAAATAATTTAACCCTCTATGCATGGTATGGTGTTGCCTCCAGGCAACATGGTCTATTTTATTTTATTTTTTATGGTAGAAATCAAATACCAATCAATGAAAGTGCAGAGAAAAGTGGTCACATGACCCATACAGTCAATTTCTTTAAATTCGAATTATCTAAATATTAATTTGGTAACGCACTCATATGATTAGTACTTAACATAGTATATCTACACATTTTCTATATCACCTAAAAAAAGGTATAAAACACAACTGTCAGTTGATGTGTGAGGATGAGGAGTCATACTGTGATGAGGAAGATGAGGTTATAGTGACAGTGAATCCAGCAGGGAGAGAGTGAAGATGGATATGAATATGATAACTTGATTTGATAGTTTGGTAATACTTGTGTTCCACTGTGGTACAATGTTATGTTGCCTGAAAGCAACAGCTGGATATGAAATGTTACTTTTTACAACACATGAAATGTGTAATAAATTAAAAACTAGATAAATGTGTTTGTTAGTGTCTGGTAAAAGAAATAGATGTCTTCAATAGATTTGATTTTCTTCTATATGGAAATGTCAAATGTTTCAATTTGTCCGTTGCAGTACAAGCTTTTTGAGGCAACAAACTTTTAAAAATACATGAAAAAGTTCATTAATATTGTAGTCAATTTGAAGCAGGAAAAATACTTTTTTCTCGTGGATATCATATTACGCTCCATAAGGCACCGTTTTAGACTAAACAAATAATTAATTTACTACATTACAATACTACCGATTTCACCATCTAGAAAGTTGTTCTTTGTGTGTAAATGTGTGTGGCTCTTAAAAGAGCCGTTGGGTTTTTCTTCTTCGTGAGTCTCTTAACCGCCGAACCCGTACAGGGTGCGTCCCTGTCGCTTCAGCGCGTACACAACATCCATGGCGGTGACGGTCTTTCTCTTGGCGTGTTCAGTGTAAGTCACAGCATCACGGATGACGTTCTCCAGAAACACCTTCAACACACCGCGCGTCTCTTCATAGATCAGCCCAGAAATACGCTTGACGCCGCCACGTCGAGCAAGACGACGAATAGCGGGTTTAGTGATTCCCTGGATATTATCGCGAAGAACCTTTCGGTGACGCTTAGCGCCTCCTTTCCCAAGTCCTTTACCGCCTTTTCCTCTTCCTGACATGACTAGACAAACTCCTGCACTCAAATCAACTTAGACGAACCCAGGGAAGAGGAGTTTATAGTCAGCTAGCGGACCTAGTTGAAACCACATTCATGGGCGGTTCTAGGAAACGTCACCAGTTACCAAGTCGAGGTCGGTTTTATGCTTGATACTAGTGAAAATGAATAGGATGTAAGGAATATTGATAACTGCATAATATATACAATAAAATATCTAAATGTCGTAACATAACACTAAAAACCACTTAAACCATCGGTCATTTCCTTTTATATATATATTTTAGATAGCATGTTTCTGGGCTATTGACTGTTGGCCAATGGCTATTATTTGAAAACACGAAGCCAGAAAAAAGATTAACCTAGTCTTACATTTGTGTACCAGAACCCGTAATTGTTCTTTAATGTTGTACGATGTAATATATATTTAACGATGCCAAAACGGTTTATTCATAGTAGCCTATAAGGGGGGGAAATAACCGTGAATTGCCACTTGTACATAAAGCGTTACTACGACTGAAAAAGCTCAGAAAAATATATTTGTTTTAAAATATTAACACCGTAGAGGACAAAAACGTATTTTGTTTTTAAGTTGGGCCGTTAACATTACTAGTGATAGGATTTAAATAATCACTCTCTCAGGGAGAAATTGTGTGGCTCTTAAAAGAGCCTTTGGTTTGCAGAGAAGCTTCCGTCAGTTTACTTGGCCTTCGCGGGCTTCTCGGTCTTCTTGGGCAGCAGCACGGCCTGGATGTTGGGCAACACACCACCCTGAGCGATGGTCACGCCACCCAGAAGCTTGTTCAGCTCCTCGTCATTGCGCACCGCCAGCTGCAGGTGTCGAGGGATGATGCGGGTCTTCTTGTTGTCCCGAGCGGCGTTTCCAGCCAACTCCAGGATCTCAGCGGTCAGATACTCGAGCACAGCGGCCAAATACACCGGAGCTCCGGCACCGACGCGCTGGGCATAGTTGCCTTTGCGGAGAAGCCTGTGAACACGGCCGACGGGGAACTGCAATCCCGCCCTGGAAGAGCGAGTCTTGGCCTTGGCACGAGCCTTTCCCCCGGTTTTACCTCTTCCGCTCATTATGGTTTAGAATAGTTTTCGAATACAAAGTGATGAATACAGCAGTTGACGTTGTGTGAGGTGACCTATAAAGAAAACGTGCCAGTCTCCTATTGGCTGAAATCTGAAAACATTCCAAGCCAATCAGTGATCTTTATTCTAAACGCCAAACCTAACCCCCTTTCCGCTACTGACGTTCAAAGACATCACGCTGTAATTTCATTTAATGGCGCTAGTCTTCCTTTTAAAGGTTAATGGACTTTATTTTACTGGTGATGATGGCGATAATGTGTGATTAAAAGTTTACTGGTATATGTAAACATGTACGTATATTTTTGATAAGTCTGATACCTCAGACTTTATCAAAACATCGACATTCTCAATAAAGAGTTTAAATGTATTTGCATGAACATATAAATTAGGTCCATTAATTTGCTTTCACTTGTAACAAAGGAAAGCCAAAATCATCTTCATTGGGCAGTTTAAATTACGCCCTTTACTATGAATTACTGAGTGGCTCTTAAAAGAGCCGTTTTGATTAAAAACAACGAAAAAGGATATTTATTTTTGGCTACTGTATTTTTAGCTTTTGCTGCTTTCTCATAGATATACATCTATAGAAGCGTTCTTAGGAGTCGCGGGTTTCATTGTCTTCTTGGGGCTCTTCGTTATCTTTTTAGCGGCGGGTTTCTTCACCTTCTTCGGTGATTTCTTAGCGGCGGGTTTCTTCACCTTCTTCGGCGATTTCTTAGCGATGGACTTCTTCGCTGCTGCAGCTTTGGGCTTCTTTGCGGCTGCGGTTTGCTTGGCTTTAGGAGCCGCTTTCTTGGCGGGTTTTGTCTTTTTCTTGGCCACGGTCTGTTTTTTGTTGAGTTTGAAGGAGCCCGAGACGCCGGTTCCTCTAGTCCGGACCAGGATGTCATTAGTCACCAGACTCTTGATGGAGATCTTGACGCGGGAGTTGTTCTTCTCCACATCGTATCCATCGGCAGCGAGCGCTTTCTTCAGGGCGGGGAGGGACACACCGCTCCTCTCCTCAGACTCGGACACAGCCTTGACGATCAGGTCGCGGACGATTGGTCCCGTTCTTTTGCGTTTGGCTGCTGGTTTCTTCTCGGTAGCGGCGGGTTTCTCCACCTTCTTCGGCGATTTCTTAGCGATGGACTTCTTCGCTGCTGCAGTTTTGGGCTTCTTTGCGGCTGCGGTTTGCTTGGCTTTAAGAGCCGCTTTCTTGGCGGGTTTTGTCTTTTTCTTGGCCACGGTCTGTTTTTTGTTGAGTTTGAAGGAGCCCGAGACACCGGTTCCTCTAGTCCGGACCAGGATGTCATTAGTCACCAGACTCTTGATGGAGATCTTGACGCGGGAGTTGTTCTTCTCCACATCGTATCCATCGGCAGCGAGCGCTTTCTTCAGGGCGGGGAGGGACACACCGCTCCTCTCCTCAGACTCGGACACAGCCTTGACGATCAGGTCGCGGACGTTTGGTCCCGTTCTTTTGCGTTTGGCTGCTGGTTTCTTCTCGGTCGCGGATGCTGGAGCGGTTTCTGACATGATTTCTCTGTGAATCTGGACTCACACAATCTGACTGTGATCAACAATATGAGCGAGTAACCCCAGAGTCTGGATGATGGGCGGGGCGACACTTTTAGGCCGGGCGATCGCTCCGCCCATTTATAATACCGCAATCTTATTTGTGAAGACGATTCAAATCTGAGCATGCGCATTCTTTTATGAATGAATGGTAACTTACGAGTTTATGAATGATCTACGACGCTGTTTGGCCAACCATAGGCTAGTGTGTGTGTGTGTGTGTGTGTGTGTGTGTGTGTGTGTGTGTGTGTGTGTGTGTGTGTGTGTGTGTGTGTGTGTTTTGTGGAGGTTGTGGTTTATTAAAAAAAAATATATATTATAAAAAAAAAGTATAAAATTGTGACTTTCCAGTGTTATGGGCGTCTCCATCTTTGATGTTTACTTTAGTCACTGTCACTATGGTTACAGGAGATATTCAGGTTTATCATGAGAATAGAAAAGGACTTGAGCGATTGAGTTCAGTGTTGAGTTCAGTACTTGTGTTGAAGTCAGAGAGAATGGCGTGACTTACAGATTATTAGTGTTGTAGTCAAAACCACAAACTGAGACCAAGACCAGAGTGTTTTCCCAGATAACACATTTTTCCATGTGTTTTGATGATGGAAATGTTAAAATGTCCCGTTTTCCTGGTGAGTTAAACATAACTAGGAATGTATTATGCATTATGAGCACATTGAAGCTCCAACAGCTACAATAATCTTTTGCTGATAATTTCAGCCTCATGTGTGTGATATATATATATATATATATATATATATATATATATATATATATATATATATATGCCTATATTGAGAATGTTTTACAAGAAATAAGATTGTTAAGAATAAGTCTGAAAGTCTCGATTAACTTCAGCGTTCAAAATACAAATTACCTCTTGCCTTCTGATCTCTTTTTCTTTTATTTATCTGTATACAGAATTGAGATTTGCTTAGTCCTTTTTGCTCATATTTAACATCTAAACCAGTAACAGTAAAGTGACAGAGACTGTTCCAGAAAGCAGGTTTAACTTACCGTCCCATAAACCCTGAACTCTAAACCTTTCTTACTCATGGTTATGGGCTCCAGAAAGGCCGCTGTGAGTAAGTTCAGTCACTCAGAGCTCATGGTGAACAACACAAACACATTCTCAATCTCAACAGATCCTCAAATCCTGGAGTCTCCGGCTGTGTCTCATGTCGAAGGCTGAATCCTCCGGAGGACACATTTATCTGCCACAAACGTCATGAGGCTCTTCATCTCAGTTAACTGACCATTACATTCCCATGAATGTAGTGTTTATTGATTAAACACTCTGAACAAATAAATGTTTGAACTGGCGTGTAGCCTCTTTATTCTCAGAACATTCCACTTCAACACGAGCTTAGCTCCCTGTATCTTCTTCTTCTTCTTTCTGTTTTATGGCCGTTCACTCCATTGGAGTATTACCGCCACCTACTGTATACCTTGCACCCATGAGTAATGGATCTGATTAATAAAAAAAAAAAAAAAAAAAATATATATATATATATATATATATATATATATATATATATATATATATATATATATATATATATTAACATCCCAGAGTATCAGAGCCCGAGCTTCAGCTGACGCTGCGTGTTCAGCTCCTCCAGCTTCCACACTAAGCTCCTCAACCTCCAGGATGACCAGAGTTGCTCTTCCTCCTCAGGCTCTAGATCCTGTGATCTAGCCCTGTAAGCTCTAAAAAAGTTATCACGTCCTTAAACCTCTGTCTATCACTCAAACCCTTACCTAATAGGTCCATGACACTCACTGGCCTGTTCTTTATATTACTAAAAAGACCCCTACGCTGTTCTTCATATTTACTACACTTAAAAAACACATGTTCTACTGTTTCAATAACACCACATTCATCACACATACCATTTCCATGCTTTCCCATTAATGCCAGTGTTGATTTTAACCCTGTATGACCCATCCTTAGTCTAGAAATCATTAACTCTTCCTTCCTATGTCTTCCATAGCACGATTCTTTGTTCCCTACTGATTTTACAATACTATAATACCACCTACCTGTACTGCTACTTTCCCATCTTTGTTGCCATATTCTTATTATTTCTCTATTAATTATTGATCGAACTTCATTTCTTCCTAAAGGTATCTTAATATCTACCAAGTTTTTCCTTAACGCTTCTTTTGCTAATTTATCTGCTGTTTCATTTCCTAATATCCCAATATGTGCCGGCACCCAACAAAAGTATACAATTATACCCTCTATGTTCAGCCTATATAATAATGTATACATTTCTACTATCAGGTCTTCTCTATCAGTTTTTGTTGACAATATACTTTTAAGTGCTGATGCAGAATCTGAGCAAATTACAGTCGCCATCATATTCGGCTTAGTCTGCTCTAACCACTGCAATCCTACTATTATAGCAGTTAGTTCTGTTGAATATACAGACATTTTGTCACTCAACCTTAAACTTATTTTCGTCTCAAATTTTGGAATATGTACTCCTACTCCCACTTTTTGTTCGACTGGGTCTTTAGATCCATCTGTATAGATCTGTATACAAGAATAAAAATGTTCTCTCATAAAACCATTGATTTCATAGCTATTAGTATATCTTCCTTCTGCTTTCTCCCGATCCTCCAGCAGTCTCATTTCAAGATTAGGTTCAGGAATATTCCACACTGATACCCCTTTTAATGGCATATTGGGACAAATAACTACATTTTCCAGCCCACATTCCTTAACCCATTGTTTATACTTCCATCCAAAACTATTCCCATTATTCTTCTTATATTCCCAACAGTCATTTAAAATTGCTCGTGTGCAATGACTCTTATTACAACCCTGCAAATTAACCCAGTACATCATTGTAAGCTTTTCCCTTCTTAACTCTAGTGGCAACTCCCCCATTTCAACCCTGATGGCAGCTCCCTGTATCACTTCCTTGTGCCTCTTTTACCTTCTTGGGTATCTGTTAACTGTATGTTTGGTTCTACTGCCATCTAGAGGACAATCATAGGAAACACACCTAATCACCACATCCCCTTTCCTTTAGGAAGAAAAATATAAACTGAAATGCATTTAACAATGGAAATAATATAACACAATTATCCATTTGACACTAAACTGAAATTTCAAAACAACATATTTGTGTGGCACATTTCAAATGTAACTGGACAGAGTTATTTACAAATTAAGTCGATCAGGTTTCTTTATTATACGTGATGATCTTCTTATTATAAGAGATTCATTTGTTTCTGCAGAATGACCATTGTCCAGGGGAATGGCAGAAGATGAAAAAGACTGCCTGCTTGATGGTGTTACATCTTCAGGTGAGACCAGAACTTCTCCTTTAGTGTCACTCAGGGTTTGGCTCGTTTCTTGCGTCTTAAGAAGACTTCTGCGATTTCTCCTAAGCACTTGTCCATTCTCTGTTCTGACAACATATGATCTTGGATTCACTTCTTCCAAAACAACCGCAGTTGGTATCTTCCACTCTCACAATGTCATTTTTCGATAACACTTTCAGCATTTTAGTTTGTTTGTCATAGTTCATTTTTTGTCTCTTTTGAAGATCCTTCCGTTTCTGTCTTATTGCTGCACTGTTCAACGTTTCTCGTTTTGTGTCAATCCTGCAGGGAAGAGTCGTTCTTATCTTGCGATTCATTAAGAGCTCTGCAGGAGATGCACCATGTTCCAGAGGAGTTGCTCGATAGCTCATAAGAGCTAGATATGGATCTGACTTTCCTTCAGATGCTTTCTTCAACAATTGCTTTACAACGTGCACTCCTTTTTCTGCCTTCCCATTAGATTGAGCATGATGGGGACTTGAAGTCACGTGTCTGAAATCATAGTGAGCAGCAAAGTCCTGAAATTTCTTTGAATTATAACATGGGCCATTGTCACTCACCACAACCAGAGGAATGCCATGCCTGGCAAAAAATTGACTTCATCTGCTGTATCACACATGCACTTGAGGAGTTAGACAGCAGGGCTATTTCTGGAAAACTAGAAAAGTAATCCACTACCAGCAAGTACTCTTTACCATGGAAATGAAACAGATCGGTACCTACTTTCTGCCAAGGATGCTGAGGTAAGTCTGTTGTGATCATTGGTTCTCTTGCTTGCTTGTTTTGATGTTTCAGACAAACTTCACATGTACTGACCATTTTTTCAATGTCAGAATTTATTCCAGGCCAATAGACTGAATCCCTGGATCTCCTTTTGCATTTCTCCATTCCAAGATGTCCCTCGTGTATCCTGGAAAGCATCTCTTTTCTCAGCACTTGTGGAACAACTATTCTGTCCCGTCTCAGAAGAATGCCATCTGCTACACTGAGCTCAGCTCTAACATTGTAGAAATGCGGGCAGGAACTTTTGACCCAGATATTGTTCAGATTTTGAATTACAGCCTGGAGAACTGGATCTTTTGCTGTCTCCTCAGCTATTTGCTTGAGCTTCTGATCAGTCACTGGAAGAGATTCAACAACAAGATTCACATGTGTGTTCACATCATCTTCCGTGGAACTCGCATCTGAGGATTTGGATGTTAATGGTGCACGGGACAGTGCATCATCAAGCACTATGTATTTCCCTGGTGTGTAGACTAATTCAAAGTCATACCGTTGCAGTCTCATCATTAGACGCTGAATGCGTGGAGACATCTGATTCAGATTTTTTCTGATGATCGCAATTAAAGGCTTGTGGTCCGTCTCTGCTGTGAACGATGATAAGCCATAGACATAGTCATGAAATTTCTCAAATCCAAAGACGAGTCCGAGACATTCCTTTTTGATCTGAGCATATCTGCACTCAGATTGTGTCATCGTCCTAGAGGCATAAGCAATCGGTTTCCAGCCGTCAACATCTGCTTGGAGCAAGACTACACCTAGACCATCCTTTAACGCATCTGTGGAGATTTTGATACTCTTAGAGGAATCAAAGTAGGTGAGAACTGGTGCTTTTGTCAATGTTGACT